ATATGATTCAAAATTATTTGAACCGCTTTTCTCAAGTGTAATACTTTCAATTTAACATAAAAGTACATCATAATATAATAGGTTCGAGCCTATTTATCCCTAGTCTTTTTAAATATGATATTAATTTTTAATAATCATTTTCTAATTAAACATACTGTTTAAGGCATTTTTTTTTATGAAGCCGCCTAAAGTTTTTTCAAAAATGAGGATGGAAAACACTGGTGTGATGTTATGCTGGCGTATTATGTTAAAAAACCAACAACGTCATCGTGTACTTGAAATTGTAGATATTGATTTTATATTTTTACCGTGACAATAAGGGGTCACCGTCATCTGGGACCTTAATGATCTGTGCGTGATGAAAATTGAATACTAAACCAACTTTGAAGAGGATAGGGGTGAGTTCAATCGGAGCGGACATTCGGAACGGAAAACCAAAGACGCCGCGAATAAAACGATTATGAGGAAATCAGTGGCGTCACCGTCACTGATGAGGGTGCGCCCGTGTGTATTTTTCGCTCTCGCCCGAAAGATTCGAATTGCAAATCCAAAATTGATTTTTTACAAAACCAATCCGTCCGTGAAATTTAAATTTTATTCTGTACTATATATATATATGTGTGTATAAATAGGGGTCGGTCTCATCGACTTAGAGGGTTGTTGGATCAAGGCCGTGTGTAAATGACATGTAAACAACCGCATACGTGTACCTACGAAATGAGTCAATTAACTATGTACAAACATCAAAAGATCTCGTGTCGTGGCAAATTAATTGGAAAAAGGCTTGTGGCAAAAAAAAAAATATTTATAAAAAAAGAGATTAATGGGTTTTTGATTTTAATAACAGTTACAGGGCAGATGGTCGTCGTCTGGGCAATTAAATTAAATAAACTTTTTAAAGTGCACACAGCGGGTGGTTGAACCCGTTCTATTTATTTGTTTGCATTTTTGATAATCTCCACGTGATAAGAATAAAAACTAAAAATATAACAAAATAGTCATAATATGAAGATAATAAAATCATACAGTGGGGAAGTCATTGTATTTTGAGCACTTTTTCAAAAATTTAATGTCGATAAATCGCACTAAAAGATAATACACTGAACTGGAAATAATTGTATAAATAAGTATGAAAAATATGAAATTAAAATTTTCGAAAGATTATTCGCAAGTCTTTAAAAATTATACTTCTTATGCAATATTAAAGATTTGGTTTTATTTCTTTATAGAATCTCTTCAGACAAATTAAATTAGTTTTTAACGGGTTACTAAGTAAGAAGTTTTATAATTAAATTTTTGAAAGGGATAAAGTATTTTTTTAAGGGAGAAAACTTGTCTGAAATAAAATATTAACTACCCTGATTAATGAAACGATAAAAATATCAAGGTTTCATTTCATATTGTATTTGATACCAATTGAATTTTAAATTACTACTGTGGCACTACCCTGTTATCACATTACATACCTATCTATCAAGTGTGTACAAATCACAAACACAATAAATTCTATGATATTTTATCGACTTACAACTTTATAACAGTCATATTCCATGTTTCATTATTTACTTAAATCGTAAAAAAACTATCACAAAAAATACACCTACCTACATAATATGTTTCAACTTTAAACTATGTAACTTGGAGAGTGTAAGACAGAATAAAAATTAGCTCCAAGACCACCATATATGTTAATATTGTTCTCTATACTTAAAATTATTTCGTTACAAAGTTTACATTATTTTAATTTACACTTTTATGGCACGTTAAATTAATAGTGCAGTTTATACAAGCAACACTTTAATGTAAATTGTAAATTGTAATACCTTAATATTTATACTGTATATATTTTTTAATGGTGGTGGCACATTAACATTATGCCTTTTACATTTGGTCAATTCACTATAGTTGGCAGTATAAATAATATATATATTATATATATATTATTTAAACTCTACAAATTATAAATTATAATTATTAAAATACAAGCCAAATAAATTATCTGTATCACCCGTGTGGGTGTAAATTATAATTTTTACAATTAAAATTGTATAATTTATACAATTCCGTTGTCCACGCTCAAGTGCTCAATTAACTTGAATATAACTAAATGTACGGACATTATATTTTAATACTACCTATTCATATATTATTATACATTGAATAATAGGCAGTTTATATAATTCCAAATTTAAAGGTCTTCGATGAAAATTAAGTTCTCAAATTTGTTAGTAAAATGTAGGTAGTTGGTTTTATAAACAAATATTTTTTGAGCGTGACGCCCGGGGCATTATAAAAAGTATGCACTCTTCTACCTTGTTATTGTTTTCTGTTATCGTTTTGTTTTTATGTAATTTATGCTTATGAAAGTGATGGTTGCATCCACAAACCACATACTGTTAACATTTCGACGTTAAAAAGGGCGATTGATGAAATCCACGTGCTTTATCAGATCATTGTAGGTACCTATAGGAAAATACAGCACAATATTTTTATCTACAAACCTGCAAATGTATATTATAAACGTCAACAATTTTTTAAACTTTTATAGTTCGATAGACGCAGTAAATTTTTTTTAATTTGTGTTATTCTTATTTATAGCCACCTAAAATGAAAAAGCAAAATGTCAACAAAGAAGATGATATTATTGTTATTATGTAAAATATAAAAAAAAATATGAAATTCAACTGGCGTGGTAATAACTGATAGTGTGTGAGTACAACAATCTTAAGAAAATGTGTGGTCTTGTTCTGTATTTCATGTAAAGTATGTAGTTTTTGAATTTAACGGAAAATTTGATGTACCTAACCTATAGAACATTGTATTTTTATTTTCTGACTTTAGGTTGACGATGAACAATTATAATAATAACCAAAATAAACGACATTACCATGGTATACGTCATATACACCGATCTGCATTACCTACCTCTATGGCTATACCTGTTTGATATCACGAATAATTAACTATAGTATATACATGCTTAACGAATTGAAATACACATAAAATACACGTAGGTACCAACTATGAACTAATCATAGCACCTATACGCTGTGACAATAATAATAATGTTATAATACCAGTGACGTGGTACTGCGAGTATAACAAAATGGTCGGAGGCGGCGGAGGGGGTATATTATATGTCGCGCCGTGCCTTGCGTGTGTGCGTGCGTACGCGCGCGCGCGACGCTCGAGCGGGACATAGCGCGCCATATTGAGCTTTCGCGCGAGTGTATGCTGGCGCGCGGGCCGCGGTACGAAGTTCGCGCCGATCAATGCGCTCCGGGCGCAAACACACCCACCCTCACTACCCCAATCGCACCCAATCCTGGCCAACCGTCGCGCCCCGAGCGGCCGTCGCGCGTCCAGCTCACGTCAGTCAGCCCCTTGGCAACCGCACACCGCCGCGCCGCGATCACCGCACCCGCACCCTCACCCGCACCGCGCTTTTCCGTCACGCCGGCCTATGCCGAACACTCACGCCCGCCTGCGCCACTCGGTCGCAACGGAAGTGAGTCGCGCGCCCGGCGGACCGCGTAATAAAATCTGCCGCCGACGCCGAATTGGATTGGCGAAAAAAAAAGTCGCGAGTCCGATTTTATTAAAACGAATACTTCGTTACCGCCGCCGCCGCTTGCAAGTTGCGCGTGCGGCGGGTGCGCTTTTCGCGTCGGCTTTTTCGTCCTCGCTATTTCCGCCACCAGCTGGCCTATCTATACCACCCCTATTTCGGTTTCGATGTATTATCTTAGAATTATTTGTAGGTATCTTTATTATAGGTATGGCGCGGTTGCCGTGTATAGATAAAACGTACGTACTAGTATTAAAACGTCATTCCAAAAACTCAAAAGTTTGTTTTTGTTTTTTTTATCGTCGTGAATCATCAACTGTAAACATTTTTTTATAGAATAACTTGTTGTTGGTTTTTTTTAAATATTGTTTTATATTATTATACAACGTATACATCCTGTTATATAGTACTTGAGTTATTACGGGTACTACTACAGTGAATCGAATTTTAGACTTTTAGCGGAGCGATGAATGTATCGATTTTACAATAAAGTGTTGTTTTTTTTTGTGTGTCTGTCATCGCCCATCACCTTCTAGTAACAACGCTTCAAATTTAAACTTTGAAGTTGGTTTCTGGTATCAAATTGGATCTAGTTAGTACCTTGTAGTGTCAAAAAAAAAACAATTTTACTTCTAACTATGGGTGCTTTTCAAAACGATGATTTCCTTTTTTTGGTTCAACTCAAAAACGAACAACTTTAGACACTTCAAATTTTCACCAAACATTTATATTTGCATTTTGTACAAATGGTATAATTTTAAGAATATTTTGACCAATGTTTATGTTGAATTTCTTGATTTTTTTTTTAATTATTGCCGATAAAAGAAACTTTTCACTCAGTTAAAAAATTGTACCCATTTTATAATTTAATACATATTGTATTTTTATTTATACCTCTATATTCAACTTAACGTATGAACATCAGATTTATTATTATTCACAACTCACATCAGAAGCCTTAACAATTTGAACTGTACAAAAAGTGGCATGACAAATATGTAGGTAAATATTGGGCGTTAAAAAAGTATTAAAAATGGAAACAAAACTATAGCATTTGCTATTTTCTAATAAATAAAATTACAAACCAAAAATTTAAGAACACATTGAAATATATGAGACTCGCCCAGCATATTTTTAAACTAATAAACTAATTTGCAAAGTATAGGTATAGTATAATATAATGTTATAGGTGGTATATAATGTTATAGACTTTTATGAACTTACTACGGTAACTATTGAATATAGTATTACAGTAAGGTACTAAGGTCGAAATACAATATTTAAATAATTCTATTTTTTTTATAGTTTTTCATTCTTCAGTGATTGATTAATATTTTAATTTGCACAATTACGGGTGACGTATTACATTAATATATTTTCAATATAAAACGCGTCACCTGTAAAAATGCAAATTAAAATTTTTAATCGATCACTGATGAATGAAAAAAATTGAATTATTTAAATTGCATTCTAACTTATTACAGTATAGGTACTGCATAGTTACTTTATAAAAGAATATAACATACTACCAATATTGCAAATTGATTTATTAGTTCTAAAATATTGGTCACTCGATCGCAATGTGAGTCTCATACATTTCAATTTTTTATTTTTTTTTGTTTGTAGCTTTCTTTATCGATGCTAGTTTTGTTTCGATTTCTAATACTTTTCTTACACCCATAGAAACATATTTGTCGTACCACTTTTTATAAAGTCCAAACTGTTGAGGGTTCTGCTTCGGATATTTTAACATTGCGGGTACAAACTCCACGGGATCCAATGGACGATGCCTGATTGTTAGCACCCGTTCTGTGGTCATTACTTCGGTCACAATATCGTCTATCATCTGCTTTGAGTAACCTGCCAACATATTGGCCAATGGTGTAACTGGAAATCTTCGGCTTACTACTGGATAGCTCATTATTAAGTCGTTGAGATATAAAAATAAAGTACAGTCGTCAGGTACGGTGAACACGATGGTATCAAATATATTGGACTGAAAACATATATATCTCAATTAAATTAGCAGTTATAATATTTTTTGGTATAGACTACTAATGATATTTTATTTTGTTATGTTATATTTACATTAAATTATAATCCGTATGCTATGTTATTATTTCATTCGTCTATTTTAAATTTCATAAATAATTATAACATTATAATATGGCTGACAACAGCTATCTCACTATATTTAGGTACAGGTACTTTATTACTTATTGTTTAGATTCATAACTATTAATATTTTAACTGTTATTTAATTTGTATAGTTGTGTGATTTTAAAGATTGAACACATAGACGGTAAATAAGACGGTAATTTTTTTAAATATTTATGTAATATTTACGTATAGGTATAAATTATACACTGTAAAGTTGATATCATTATGTCAGTATATGTTTTTTTTCTTCTCAATAAATTATATTATTGTAATACTCTACTTCTATTTTTTCTTTATGATTCACTTATCATTATAGTGTATATTGCGAGTACCTATAGCAGTTTTTTGACGGAATCATAATATATATATATATCTAATATCACACACCATTTACTCATGTACATAAATACTACGTCAACGAGGAGCAATTATCAACAAAATGATTGAAAATCTCAAAACAAATATAGGTATATATATAAATAGCTTTTAGTTTAAATGAGACAAATGTATTGTTTGGGAAAATATAAAGAAAGATATTGTTTAAACAAAACAACTATGTAAAAAATGATTTAAATGTATAAAAAAAACTTTATAACTAAAATTACTGCAGAAATTCTTCAAGGCTTTTGCTAAAGTTAAAAATTGAGTACGCATAGAGACAACATTTTATTTTATTTTTATTAGTTTTAAAAAGAATTAAAAATAGCTAATTTTTTGAATATAAACTCAGACGTATTTGTTAATAATGATTATAATATCCGTACCTACAACTCGCAGTATAAAATTATGTTATTAATAATATAAATAATTACGTTTAATTAGTTTAACATTTTACTTGATCCGTATATACGTGACATAATTAACCCCTTGCGAACGGCAAGCGCATAAACGAGTAGAGCGGTGAATCATTTTTATTTCGTATCATATAAAAAAAAATAATAAAAAAAATACAAGAATCGTTTAATCATAATTATTATGACCCAAGCTTTATAGGTCCGTGTAAATGCCGAGACAATGGATGTGATGGGATGTGGAGATTTTCCGTGTCATAGGTATGCGGTTAATGAATGGAATAATTATATGGTATACGCTCTATACTCTATGGTGTAACGAGCACGTCGGGTTTTACAGGTTCCTCTATATTATGAGCATTTTTTTCCATTCTCCATCCCTCACGTCCACCCGCCGCCGTCGCCGTTTGGTAATATCGTGAGTAGAAATCTCTGGACTTGGCACACCGCACACACGCACTGTGTTATTATTGTTCTTTTTAATTTTTTATACACTCACACACACGCACACACATACACACACACACAAATGTGTAGTACCTATACACGAGTATAATAATCGATAAAAACCAAGACAACATAAAACATTGTCCTAGATGCTTGTCGCGATTCGACTGAGAACAGCCTCGTGGTTCGGTTCAAGTGAAATATTGATGGGCGGGCCTATATTATAGTACTGTGTATAAGAAAAACTCACCCGAATCACGGACATCTGAGGATAATTCAAAACTGCTGTATCTATTTAGGATGATATCCCCCTTGTTCTTTTCCTTTACTATTTTATGATAATTTTCAATATTTTGTAATAGTTTGTATTAATATACTTAAAAATACATTATACTCTTTAGTCTTCATAGGTATAGATTTAATAGATCATATCATTATATTATAGTACCTATCATATTAATTTATTTTATGCATTGAAATTTGAAATATAATCAAAAATATAAAAAGGACACGACTTCATAATATTTATGAATAAATCCAAAATAAATAATCGTTGAAAATATTTTACTTTTATATGTTTTATATGTTTTATATTATATATTATTTACAAATCATTTTAATTAACTCTATGTTTATTAATTAATGTACTATATAGTATATAGTGTCAACTATATAAATCTACTTCGATATTAAAAGCCAGGGCAGCCAAAATTGAAAATTAAATTTTTAAAAAGTGTCAACGAAAAGATATATGATACTTACATAAGGGTATGACCTATTATATTAAAACTGACTACAAAACTTCAAAACCGCATAAACATTTTCGAGTTAATGTAAAAATGAAATTATTTTTCTACCTTTATACTTTTTTATTATTTTAATAGTAGGTACCTACATCCATTTCTCTAGTTATTGTTATTAATTAATTTTTATAGTTTATCGTATACTGTATTAAGAAATAACTTATTCTACCATGACTTTATTAATTATTAGCTAACTCACTAGTCACTATAAATGCGCACGTCCTAATACTTAAACATACTAAAGCACAATTAATTTGTCATGAAAGTTAAACATTGTTATTAACTCAAATCTTAAATTATCTAAAAATTATTAAAAGTCAATAATTCATTTTATTGTTATCATTCTTATATTAAATATTTTACTAATTAATTATGTAATATGCCTTGTTATGCGACTTGCGTATGTTATATTTTGAAACAAAAAATGATCGATTTTTTGAATGATTAGAACAATAATGCTATTATTAATAATCATTACCAAACTTAATGTATATTTTATATGTTGGTATAATAGTATTAGATACATACTAATTTTTTTTTGGAAGTCAACCAAGGACTTGTTGCTTTTCCAACAACTATTATACGATCAGATTTGCTTAAAGATTTCATAAGCTTTACCAACAACTTCGCCATCAAATTTGGTTTATATACTTTTAAATTTTTTGGAATATTTTTATAAAACGGTACATCGGCTAAGTCCACTTCGATCACAACTGGTTGATGTCTTTTAGCAAACTATAAAGATGTTAATGATTTAGTTTGTATTTAAAAAGGCGTATCACGTAATATTACCAAAATAATATCTTTGACTAATTGATTAATTTTCTTAATTTCTGGATAATTTTCTGACACATTCATAAGTGTTAGTTCGATCTTTAATGATCCACTTTCTGTACATATTGCATTTGTTAACATTGATTTTCCGGACTTTGGGGGGCCAGCTATCAATAGAGATCGGCTGAAATCGATATTTTTGAATGTGCGAAGTTCCTCAAAAATCAAACCAATTACACACAACTCTTTGATTATCTATACAAAAATCAATTAATACTTATTTCATTTAATTTTGTCGTATTATTACTATTATATTAGTATGGTCCAATGACTGAAATTTAATGATTATAAATAAATATCAATTGTACTTAGCTACTATATGTGCTTAGTTGTTAAGCTATAAATTGTAATATAATTGTGTATTTTATGTAATTCAGAAAGCTTTTTAATTAATAACAATAAAAACAAAATATATAAGCAACAAAAATATATAATATATCATTTCTGGAGAGAATTCTAGTAAAGTTAAATTAACTTACTTGACGTATATCACCTAAGCAATAGGGTGGATCAGAATAATATGGTTCTTCTCTTAATACACAAGCGCTTAATGACACTTCTCCTTGAAAATCTGTAAATCTGGAGATAACTGACTTTTTAATTAGATTGTTCTTAACCAATTCTTCAAAGATTGCAATTGGATCTCGTGGAATTTTTTTAGTTTTTTTTTTCCTCGAAGTTTTTTTATTATTTTTTTTTTTAGGTTCTTTATATTTTTTTTCTGTCATACGTTTATATAGTACGTATTAAAAACAACAATTTTGAATGTATAAAATATTTTAATAACTACTATTTACTTAGATCTCGAGCATAAGCCATTTTTAGAATATTTAATTCTTCCTTAATAGTTTCATCAACCATAGCTCTAAGTTGCAGTTGAGCCTTTGAAAAAATGTCCAATTTTATTATATCTTCCCTAGGTTCATTTTCAATTCCATCATCTACTGCCCAATTACTATCATATTCATTGAACGTTTCTTTAAACCATTCTGTCAATTCACTTGATTCCAAAACGACGCCCAAAATTTTAACTGCTGCTATTAACTTTTCCTTATATTTTGCGTTTTCGAGATTTTTTTCTTTTTCCTGTTCATGTATACTATATTTTATAGGTTTGCTCTACTGATAGACTTTTTCAAATATATTATTAGCGTAAATGTATACATTACAATTTTATTTTTTTCTATCAATTGATTCATTAGTGCCTTTCTTTCTTTTGCTGGTTTTTTTTCAAATTCTATGATTAACATTGAAAGTATTTCAGCCATTTCCATAGTCATCCACCTTCCTGTTTGAAGAATAGCCGAACCTCCAATCAGTAATCTCTGTTTTAATGCTGACTTATAACGTACATTCGGTATACGTAACTCTTTTAAGACAGCAGGCGACAAAACTAGATAGTTTAAAATGTATTATAAATTATGCATAATTATAGGTACTATGGTAAAAATTATATGCGAATAATATTGTCTTTACTTATCGGTGGTAATCCAATAATATCATTGTTATCGTCAGAGAACATAATAGGTTTCGCATTTGGCCAAGTCGGTAAATGATGACACATTTCAAAATATTTCCATACGTACGCTCTAAGCTCATCTTCGATTTCTTCGATTATTTCATCTTTATTGCGTTGTACAAAATTGTCTTCCAATTCGCTTATAATTTTACGATGCTTTATATCTGCTTCAGCTTGTTGTATTCGAATCGCATCCTCTAGTTCACGATTTATATCGAAACTAAATTTTTCACTAGTCATATGCATGCCTATTATAAACAATTTATTACATGTTATAATATATAAATAATTCTGATGCAAACTAAACAATGTAATATTTTATAAATTTAGTTTTAATTCGAATATGATACTTATTTAATTATTTTTCAACAGTAGAGATGAGCACTAGTAAACTTCAAAATAAATTGAGTTACAGAATTTTTATAATTGACAAATTGTAATTATAATTTACCAAGTTGAATGTGTCGTTTTTGTTTCCTAGCACTGATTTGTATCATCATTCGATAATATCTCCAAAATCGTTGAATTTTAGTTGCCGCTTCTCGAGCTTTCTCTTTACTAGGCCGTTTATACTTCCCGGAAATTATGTTGCTTCTAGTTATTCTAGCAGATATTACTAAATTAAACAAGAATTAAGAATATATTAAAAAATGTTCAATATGTTAATTCCCATAACATAAATTTATACGCATATACATTCATTGACAGCTACACGATCTTTTACTGCTCTGATATGTTTTTGAATGAGTTTTATAGACAACTCTCTTGAATCGTCTGCACTTTCAATTTTTTGAAATGTAGTTACAGGTTGTGCATCTAAAACAAATTTGTCTACATCTAAATAGGATTCCGATGATTCTTGACTGACAAATTGACTAGTGCTAGACCCCTTTACATTTTCTAGTGCAATAATTTCGTTTTGTGTTTCGCTTAATAAGTCATTGTTTTCTTCATCTATTAAAATACGGTTATTTATTTCATCAATCTTATGGTCGATCTCTTCTAAAAATGATAGTCTCTCATTTCGGAAACACCGAGGTATACTCAATTCAAACTGGTCATAGGTTATTTTCATATTATTCAATTCTTCAGTTATCGGTCTGTATATTATATACCAGCATAAACATTTCAAAATGTACAAAATAATAATATGTTTTAATTAAACATACGTGTATATTGAGATGTCTTCACCAATAAGAATTTGTTTGAGTTCAAGTATACGACCAAAAGTGCACATTAATAATTTTTTTATGAAAATCCGCAACTGAGGTTGTATAATGGAGTTGTGGCATGCCGTTAGTTCATTAATCGTCACCATATATCTTAAAACATTTAAGGGGAAATTAATTGAATACATGCATACTTGTATAGAGGCTATCCTATAACTACGTAGGTTAGGTTGGTTTTTCAATAAGTATCAACATAATTTTAAAAGCGTACTTGTATACCTACTCTGTACTTACCGATTCAACAATTCATGTTTTTTATACACTATAAATAATTATTATCAAAATGTATATTATGATAACACTTTTTATTAAATATTTAAAATATTATTTTAATATCAATAATTAACTGCAAATTGTTTATAACTATGTGTATCTATAAACTACAATTATTGGTGTTCTAAATGTTTCATTATTTTTGTAAATTTTGTTTTCAAAATTTAATATAAATAATTAAATCATCAGAAAAAAATATTTTATGTATCAATATTCAATTGTAACATTATTTGTACACACTATTTATTGGCAAATAAAGTTGATGGCTGATTAATAAATATGTATTATTAGTTATTACTGTCAAAATGTATTATTGATGTTATAAAATGGCTACCTACATAATAATATGTATGACTTGGAGAAGCGCGGTCGTATCAATCTGCGGAAACGCTCTGAGTGTACGTACCGGCCGACGTTGCTAGCTTGGGGTGACCCATCCGGGATTTTTAACAACAAAATCCTTGCCACACACACAATACATATTCTAAAACCAACTCCCCCCCCCCCCTACAAACAGTTAATGGCCATAGTTGCCGGGCTTTAATTCAATAAAAAAATATAATATTTATATTTTATGTTTATCATTTTGAATTATAAATGAACACTTAACTGACATGTTCGTATTGCAGTGTTTTCTTTCCCCGACTACTGTTTAATCAATTCGTTATTAGCACATTGGGAGAATATTCGCGTGTGTTATCGTATATTAAGTATCGTTATTATAACAATCGTAGGTTATATAAACATAATATGTATATATATAATATTAAATGGTTGTCATAATAATTTGATAATATAATAATAGCAAATAATAATTGCATACGAGATTGCCGAAGACTGTCGGAGTTTCAGAGATTGAGACGAAGATCTAAAATTTGAATAACGTTTGCGGCACTATGTTTTATATAAATAGGTGTAGGTAGGTGCACATCACACGCGAAATATTAATTATTCGATCTACCTATTAGGGGGAAGGTAGATCGGCCGCCGGTAAGACGGTTACCCACGATGACTTTACAACGTATAATTCTATCAAGACTCTAGAGCACATAATATTAATAATAATAATATGCACAATATTATAATATAATGATCATAATACCTAACGTACAGCCTGGCTGTGGTGGCGCGCACCAGGTTTCTGTCGGTGTTCGGGGCGGCGAGCACAAACGCCCGGTCATCACTCTCGATCTGTCGCAACCGTCCGACGACGTCCCTCCACACTGGCCCGGTACTACATCTGTGGTTGTCTACCATACCGGCGGCGGTGTCGCCAAGAACAATCGCAATAGTGACGGACGGTGCAGGGCGGAGTATACGTACCTAGGTTATGGGTAATGTTATTACCACCTACCCTAAACCGTATTATGTATACCGTGCGACGAGGGCGAGAGAGGTCGGCCGAAATCGAGGCGAAAGACGGCGGCAGCGGCGATTAAATAATAATAATAATAAATAGTAAAACGAGACGTATCTACGCGACCAATCGTGCGAACACAACGCCTCCTACTCCGGTCGAGCGGTGATCAGAATATATATTTTTTTATATTAGATATTTATATTATATTATGTTGTGTGTAGTATAATGGTAATAACAATAATGCGCTGCAGCGGCGGCGACGTTACCTTGGTAACGAAGATTCGACCACGATGACGTCGTGGTCGGCCGCGCGAAAAGCTCACCACCCGACGCGGTGAAACCAGTTGTGTGGCAGCTCCCACTCCGGTACTGTTACACGATCGCCACCGACCAATACGCGGCCGACAGGACCGACGACTGTGTCCGTTTTACGTGTGTGTAATACGAATCATAATAAATAATAATGTATAATACAAGTCGTGTGCGCGTGCATAATAATATTATTATTATAAACAGTATGGCTGCGGCCGATCCGGTTGTCAACCGGTACATCGATCTCAGCGGTCAGGTCCTCCCGCTCGCGGACGCCCCCGCCGTTCTCATAGGTATAGGTATACTCATTTAAAGGTATTTCGCATGTCCGATACAGAACTTAAACACGAGTAGGTGCTTGATATTCAATGATATTGTCGGTTATATGTTTGGTATTTTTTCTATATTCTAATTTAAAATTGTAAGACCCGTGACGATAGAGCACCGATAAATACTATGAGTCTGATAAAAGGTAAATATAATATTCCGATATTCAAATACGAATTCAGAATTTTACGTCCGTTGGCTATTTTCTTTTTCTTTCTACCACCTTCTGCTTTTTATAAATGAATATTTTTAACAGTAATATTAATTATATAAATGTTAAAAATAAAGAAATATGAAAAACAAATTCAACAAATTCATTAGTACTGCTGAAAGTAGGGTTCGAGTATACCTACTTATATTATACAGAGCGATTCACCAAGTATAATAATAGTGCAGTTATTCAAAATCTGATTTTTAAATATACTTTGAGACTATATTTTCATATTCTTGAGATTTTTTATACTACTTAAGGAGTGTTCTGTGGACTTCTGTTTTTCAAATGAAAACTTTGAATAATACAATTTATACTATAATATTTATACTAGTAGTTAGGTAGATGTTAATAAAATTATTATTGTTTTTCAAACAAATGACATATTATATATCTAAGTCAGTACTGAATAGGTTTGTGGTATAAATAACCCCAAATTACTTCAAATAGTTAGAAAATCACAATATACATAAATAGGTACCTATATTTAATGTCGGAAATTTTTAGTCTCTAAAACAAAATACTAAAATAAACTAAGTTAGTTTTTTTTGTTTTATTATTAAGTAACTTGAAAATTGTATTTTAAATTACCGTGAAAATTATTGAAGCTTATTTTAAGCCACTTTACTCTAATGTTTTTTTCTTAATTCCAGTAAGAATAATTTACGAGAAATCTCACATTACATTTTCTAGCCTAATAGCCTATGAATGTTTAAACTGAATATTTTATGAATTTTAAGCTACATAGTATATAATATAAGTAATATATGATTGCAGTCGAAATATAACAATTTAAGGTTAAAATTTCGATGAATAAAAAAACTATACACATAAAACGATGTCCAACCTTTTGTGATTTAGATCAATTATAGGTATATGTCAACTCTTAAATGTTAAAAGCCCATATTATCAAATCTAAAAAACTTGTATGTACGCTTGTTGCTTGTAAATAATATATGATATCGTTCCTCACTTAATATTCTATGTTATTTATTATATAGAGTAATTATATTTTTTTCGTGAATTCGATAAAATGACAATATTAACTATTAAATTACTTTTGTAGAATTAAATACAAATAATATGTATTAATTATTATTGCAACTTCTCTAACACGAAATGTATTATTTGTTCAAAGGGTTCTAAAATATTGATTTGTAGATAACTATAGTCACGACTTTATAATAAAGCTTAAAAATTATTTTAATACGTTTTTCGTGCAGATTCATCATTAGATAAATTATTATTTTAGTAGTACAACGAGAATACAAATGTAAAATATATTTGGGAAAATATTAAGCATTATATGGTTTCGAAGCGATTTGACGACCTAAACATTAAAAATATAATTAAAATGATTCATACGATAAGATGAAATCGTATTTTACAGCTATAGCTCCCGTGAAAAATAAAATTCCAAACAATGTATGAACAAGATACACGAACCACGATATTGTGAGCAGTATAATATATATATATATATACATCATACCATGTAAATACACAATTATATATAATATATTATACTCCCGTACTTGTACCTACCCATATTCTGTATACACACACACACATATATATATATATATATAAATATTAAGTTGAAGTGCTATATGCGCCTACTTTATATACGTGGTGAATTTACGGCGGCAAGTAGAGTGAAAATATCTTTAAAACAATAATTTCACGCGCGCGACTACTATATATACATCCAACACGCACTGGTTTGGCGCCTCGGGGTAAACCACCCGAGTTAATGCAAATTCGCCGTTTTCCATTCGAACAACCGTGGTAGTGGTGAATGCCGTTTGGAAATGTTTCTCCGCCGTCGTTGCAGATGTCGTAGTTCCCATGCTCGCGGGCCCGTAATCTAGAGTATATAGCAGCACGTTACGAAAAACTTTAGTCTGAATTTTCTTAAAAAAATGTATCGCATCGGCTAATGCTTTTCTCGGTTCACGTCTAAGACTTTGTTTTAAAACAGTTAAACTCAATTATATTCCAAATAATAACTCATCAGTCATCGCTCATCGGCAATGCACATACTATGTTGCATTCGGGTTTAGTACGTCTATTCAAAATTCTAAGCAGTCTAATTTTAATTACCTCACGTTGTTAGCGCAACAATTAATGTCTTCATTACCATAAAAACTTTCATTAACATTAAAATACATTAATTATCAGCCAAAGTTTAAGTAGTTACGTTAACGCTTAAGGCCTAACTGGAAGAAATGTATAAAATAAAAATAAATTTCCCGTACAAAACTTGTTTACAATGAAAAATGCAATACTATTTAATGATTTTATGTTATTATGTATGTATGCCGTATGGTACATGTTAAGTGTGCAGAGTACCTATCAACAAAACAATAAAACATAAACACGAGTTAAACTATACTTGAGAATAGTTTATATCAAAAATTATGAGTTAGTCGAAGTGTATAATCATTAACCTAAAATTACAAAATGCCTATGTGTGCATTCGGCGTATAAAGTGCAGTTACCTAATCAATTAAATACATTGTACAAAAATAAAACTTTTAATATTGTACTGTATGCAGTAATTAAAATAACCCTAGATATTTTGAGCAATACGTGTTAATTCATTTAAAAACATAAGACATTTAAAAGATTAACTAAATTATTTTTAGAAGTGAAAATCTTTGGACGTCATCCTACGGAAGTAGCATCATCCAAGTCAAAAATGTTCGGTGAGTTTGTACTTATTATTACATTTAACTATGATGAGAATATAAAAAAAAGTTTTAAAACGTCAAATTAAGAAGTTAAATTTAAAGTAAAAATATTGTACATTAGGGTAGGTATTATATCGGAACATGTTTTTTTATTTTTTTATTTTAAGGATGTATCCTTCTATACTAAATTATCAGTATCAATAAACCTATAGGAAGGCGGCAATAGGTCCGCAATCGGGGAGACAGGTGAATTCCAGAAGGCGTGTCGTCTATATAGGATATTCTTTATATACACGGGAATGATAATTCTATTGTACGGGACCTACAGAGGATGTGGAAATATGTTCATACACACATATTATATATATATAACGACCCCGTCTATTAATTATTGTTTATTCATAATCAAACAAAGCCGCTTTTTTTCCACGAGTACATGTAGGTATATATACTCTGTACTGCATTTGGGCCACGCAAATGATACGTTTGGCGGTCGCGCGGAGACAGTCAGATCGTACCGGGGGTGGAACCGACCCTTATAGACGGGCAATGATGATGATAGTCTTAAGTAAATGGCGTCAATTTTTTGGTCAGCTAGCCCCGACCTGCTGTACACACCCAACATTAGTGCGTTTTATATAACGCCCATAAAGATAAAAAATAAATAAAAAAAAAACATTGCTCTATAACCCCGACGTGCTTATGTCGTTATGTGACTTTATACCTGTAATTACTGATACACACACACTCACACATGCACGTGCACACATAAAACACAGATATACTCACACACGCACGTTGAACCCTGAAGCCGTGGGAAACGGGTAATGTACCACTAAATCTTCTGACACTCTTACGGATCGAAAGTCGCGCGCCCGTACGTATAGCACGTGTTCAAATGGCAATAATGTGTTCCATAACTCTTAAATGGTAACATGTTATTTACTTTTTTTTATGAGTTTTCTTTTCAAAAATCCAATACACAGTATATAATATAATATTATATATACACGCCACATAGGTAATAAAATAGGTATCATGTTATATATTGGTGCGGTGTGATTCACAGCGTTTGATGCAAAAATGTCTAGTGCTTTCGATGCGGTGCGTCTTCAATTACAACGGACCGTAATATTATACTGAATCGTTTTCGACAGTTTATCATAAATATTAAATAACGTGTAGAGGTACACTCGTAGATCAATCGCGTGTTCGAACCTTTTATGTATACTTTAAACATCGTTTACACAAATTACCCTTTTCAAAATACTGTCTGTACCTATACAATATATCTTTTTCTGATTTCTTAAGGGTCCCGAAATTATTTGTCCAAATCATCAATTATTATAGGTTTATCATTATTTTTTTTTTTCAAAAACATTTTTTCTACAATTGTCGAAAAAACCGAGTACCCG